ATCATTTTGGTAAATCCCTACCATGGCTGGGCTGGTCTGTCAGTTTTGGCATTTCGACAATTTGAGTTTGTTTCTGTGTACACCAAATTGGGTTGGTTCGAATCTTTTATCGCTCTTCTAAAAGACGATTTAATGCTAATTAATGAGATTTTCAGACATTGTATTTATATAAACCAAACGGATTTCTACCATTCGGTTTTAAATTCTAAATACGCTTTTCCTTAAATGTTTTTTTAAGTGGTATCTGCAGAAGGTCCTCATAATAATTAAATGGAAATAAAGAAATAGCTTTTTGAGTCAACATTTGATTCTTTCAACGTGATTTTTCTTAACTCAATCAAAATTGAATATAAACAATTAGAAACATTTTAATACGAATAATTGTGGTTTTCAACGCGACCGACATTCGGTGAAAGTTGTTAAATGACGTAAATCGTTGTGTATCTGTTTAGCGAATACTCACGATTCCAGAGAGATAGGCGTATTTAGGATCTGCCATGTTTTCACTTAAATCGAGGATTCAAAATTGAACGGAATTTAAATTAATCGTTGAGTGAAATTATTTGCTAATGAGATCGTTGAGTCTTGAGTGAAACCTTCACAGAAGGCAACTTGTTATCTTATTTACTTCAAGCATTTGGCGTCTGAAGCGCTTATACAAACTCATTTCAAAACATTTTTTTTTATTTTCTATGAAATAACAATATACATAAACAAATGTGTGGTGTTTATTGACCGTTACTTTATGATTATTTGGAGGTCGTGAGATGCGGTCTGGTGTGAAGTACGTTTAAGAAAAACATTTACCTTATTGTGCCAACGTTTCGATCTTTATTGAGATCATCTTCAGGGCCTGTGATATATAAACATTGTTTAAATTTTACAAATACATGTAGGATGTGAAAAAATTAATTTATACAATGCTAGAAATTTTAAATTCAATCAAATTATTTATACTCACTCATAGTATGATTCTTGTTATGTAATTTGTTGTGGTAAATAATGTGTAATAATAGTATGGATTCGGTCAGGAATGAGTTATTTTCAAAAAGATCTTTTATTTTTTCTCGGGGTCATCGTCACTTTCAGTGTCTGGGTGAATTACAAAACATTTGTAAATCGGAAAAAATACAATACAGATGTAAATAATATTAATTTTGAACCAAGTATTTCGTGCTCTCATAAAGTGAGGTGCTATTCTTCAAGTGTCATATTTGTTTCCTGTGAAATTGTTGTGAAACCTGAATTAGTATTAAGTTGTTATTAAAAAAAGCATCTAAACAAAGAGAATCTTAAACAATTATAACTCAACACTTCATAAAAGAACATCATCCACTGACCACAGTACGCAACGCATGGTCAACCAAATCACACAAAGACAAACCAATGTACATGTCCATTCCATTCGTCCTCACATTGTCACACAAATCTCACCCCTCTCCCTGTCTCTCTCTCTCTCTCTCTCTCTCTCTCTCTCTCTCTCTCTCTCTCTCNACTCTATCTATCTATCTATCTATCTATCTATCTATCTATCTATCTATCTATCTATCTATCTATCTATCTATCTATCTATCTATCTATCTATCTATATCTCTCTCTCTCTCACACACACACACACACACACACACACTCTTTTACTCTTGAATCAGAACATGTGTCTTGGCTAATTCGAATTCATGGGTCCTTTCCAGTAAGTAGGGAAAAAGGGATGAAGGGATGATAAGGGTTGGAAGTGTTTAGAAATGGGAGCATCTCTGTCTGGAATCTCCACGGCTCTATTAACTTCCCCTAAAGGTAGTCGCGAAATCACCCCCAGGAGACCACCCCTATTCCACCCCTGGAATTGCTGCCCTCTCGTTTTAGCTAAATGCAGCGATGGGTTAGTGGTCCATATTCTTTTAGTTTCACACGATCAGAAGTGTATAGGAAAAACGTCGGATCGTAGGTGGTTGAAGGTTGGTGGATTGTTATTAGCACAATTAGTCCGCAACGGTTTAGGCATTGACACGGCGCTCATCACTGAAAACACATTTTATGTCCCATTTATACCGAGTATTTCCACCTCTGGCACGAATCACGTCAGTTTTACATTCTTTGTAAAAAAAATTCTGATAAAATCTTGAGGTATTCTTTCCCATTCATCAAGAACAGCCGTTTCCAACAATTCTAAGTTGTTAAGACCTGGGCTTCGCTTAAGTTGGTCCCAAATGAGTTCGGTTGGGTTCATATCTGGACTTTGAACTGGCCACACCAAGCACTCAATTCCAACCTCATTCAACGTAGTCATCCACAATACGTGCTCAAAGAATATCTCACCGATGTGGGGAAATTACGCCCATCTGAAAATTTGGAGGCCAGTTCTCACCTCATTTGTAAAGATGACTCACCCCAAATCTTCAATTCACATGTTCCCGTGTGAAATGAAGTTTGGAAATTTTCCGACGAGTGGTAAGAGAGGACATCTGAAGTTATTTTCATTGAGCTTCTTCTTACAGTCCTGGTAGAAATCGAAACAATTCGTTATTGTCTTATCAGATTTCTTATCTTATATCCCGTTATGACGGTTTCGTAGGGCCTGAGGACGAATAAATTATCCTCTCTTTCGTCCGTAGACCTAGGTCAACTGACCTTCTTTCTAGTGTGAAGCCATATTTCTCTTAAGCGCCGAAGAACGCTCCTGTTGTAGTGATTTACACTTACTCTCCTGGTGACTTCGCCCTGCCTGTATCCTTCCTCTAATAATTGTATGACCCTGACACTGTCATCCTCACTCAAATGCCTGGTGCCATAGAAAAAGTTATAAGGATAAGGATTATTTGGAGATCATGAGATGCGGATCGAGATGCAACACGACACATCGCGTATTTAGGATCTGCCATGTTTTCACTTAAATCGAGGATTCAAAATTGAACGGAATTTAAATTAATCGTTGAGTGAAATTATTTGCTAATGAGATCGTTGAGTCTTGAGTGAAACCTTCACAGAAGGCAACTTGTTATCTTATTTACTTCAAGCATTTGGCGTCTGAAGCGCTTATACAAACTCATTTCAAAACATTTTTTTTTATTTTCTATGAAATAACAATATACATAAACAAATGTGTGGTGTTTATTGACCGTTACTTTATGATTATTTGGAGGTCGTGAGATGCGGTCTGGTGTGAAGTACGTTTAAGAAAAACATTTACCTTATTGTGCCAACGTTTCGATCTTTATTGAGATCATCTTCAGGGCCTGNGCCCTGAAGATGATCTCAATAAAGATCGAAACGTTGGCACGATAAAGAAAATGTTTTTCTAAAACCTACGTCACACCAGACCGCATCTCACGATCTCCAAATAAACCTTAACTAACGGTCACAAAACACCACACGTTTCTCCACAGTAAGAATAATATCAAATCAAATCAGCAAAGGAAAAAAGATTAACCGAAAGTGATCTTTAGTCATAGCAGAATGGAAGGGCGTAACGCTACTTTTTGTGTACTTGGGATTAATCAGTACAAAAGTAAACAAAGTAAATAAAACTTTATTTGCAGTTTATTTTGACTATGATAGTTCCTAATAATTACTTGTAACTAATGTAGAAAGATAATGGATTTAATTTTAGACTTTATAAACTGAGTGGTGCGCTAAATTTTTTCCATCAGTGTATATTTTATATGTAAAGTTAAGCATAAACATAAACATTTTTCCCAGTTTTAAATTACGAAATAATTTGGGCTGTTTTTAAGAAGACCAAATAATTTCTAATTTAATTTGTTTTTGACGTTAGAGTTCTCCCTTGCGCAATAACAAATTCTCCTTCTTTCTAGGGTGAAGACTTGTTTCTCTTAAATGCCAAAGAACCCTCCTTTTGTAGTAATTTACACTCACTCTCCTGGCAACTTCACCTTGCCTGTACCTCTCCTCAAATAATGATATGACCCTGCCAATGTCATACTCACTCAAAAGCCTTACTGGGGCCATTGAAAAAGGTTTAAGAATAAAAATATTATCAAATCAAATCAGCAAAGGAAAAAGATTAAATGAAAATGATCTTTTGGAGTAACAGAAAAGAACGGTACAATGCTACTTTTTCTACAAGTGGGATCATCTGTCAAAAGTAAATTTAAGAAGTAAACAAAGCATTATTTACTGTTTATTTTGACCATGATAGCTCCTAATTACGTATAACTAATTTTTAATTTTGCAGATAAATTTAAATAGTATTACTGGTCAGTTATTGAGGCCTTGCCCACTCCAAAATGTACAGTTTATTCCTATTCAAACCGCAAAAACTCATAAACAAAGAAAGATAAAAAATAGACAACCAAGGGCACCTACAAGTAAAGAAAAACATACTTTCATCCTGATAAAAGAGACTTAGCTTAATAGAATCATATGTCACACTTCTTATTAATTCGCCTTCTCCTCTTGAAGGTTCCACAGACCATTCAAACCACTTTTTTTTTTTTTTGTGGTTAAGTGAGCAGAAGTTCCCTGGTTTGGCCCATTCTGCAAAGCCCTTCTTTATTTGTAATCTTCTGTATCCACTGTATGCGTACTATGTGCCAGTATAAATGGGCTCAAGGGACAAAAAAAGGCCTCATTCTTCTTCTTGCTGCTTGGATCAAGCATCCAGCATTTACAAACATTTAACAGGCTGAGAATAGCATCTTAACATTCTCATTCTAATCATTAAACGATGAGTAGAATGACTAAAAAGGCTTTTCTTTTGAAAGAAAGTAGCTCTAGCCATCTCTATTCAGGCCCTTATAGCCTTTTACGATATAAAAAGATTGATACATACATAATGTCAATTGATAAAGCTCATATTAAAATTTATAAGAATGAGGTTCACTCATCACTCAGCATGATTATCAGCAGTCCTGAAAAAAACCCAAAGAATTTTCAAATGGGCTCTAAGGAAAAAAAGAAATCCAGAGCCCCGAGGCCAAGTTTTATTATAACTTCTGGCATTGCAAACCACAGTTTAAAAAAGTGATAAATTTAAAAAAAAATTAAGGAAGCAAAATCATGTATTATATGAAAGCAGAGAAATTAATAAAACAAAATAAACAATACCAAAATGGACTATATAAAAATCCTGAATAATTTTCTTAAAGTAGATTATATAATATTAAACTATAAAGCAATAATCACTAAAACTGAATTTATCACAGTGCCAGTAAATAAATTAATTATTAATTCAAGTTAATAAATGAGACATCTTAAATTTCAATGACAAACTCCAAAAGGCAGTTACATGTTACAATAATTATGTATAAAGCAGTAAGTTATGTTTGACAGGATTATCAATTGCACACAAATAAATAAACTTATCCGTCTATGTACACTTTTTAATGAAGTTTGAAATCACTCCAGGACAAGTGATAAAAACTGAGAATTATTTCTTCTTTTTGGCTTCTGACAACGTTTTTATCCTTTTGTCCATATCTTCAAGCGACTGTTTCAAGTTTTTAACAGATACTGTGAAGTGCTCTTCCATTTTTTTCAAAGCCTCTTTGGTCGTCTCGCAACTGTTGACGAGCGTCTGCTGCATTGATTCAACTTCACTTAATGATTTGATGAAACCATTTCCCTGCTGGTGAAGTGCTTCGAGGGCCACCATACGGTCTAAAGCACGTGGTAACACTTGAGCCATTTCTTCAGTCGTTTTCGTAAGTTCATACAACTCAGCAATCTAAAGGTTAGGGATGATCATTTTATAACAACCTTTAAACTTAAAAAAAAAGTTTATATACCTTATTGTCTGCCTCAATATCAGAAGAACCCGTAATAGCAGATGATCTTTCAGCAAGTTGGTCCAATTTTGTCAGAAGTGCTGACATGCGAACATCAATAGCTTCCAACTGTGAAGTATCAAGCAATGCAACTTTTCCAGCAACCCAATGGGACGTTTCAGTTAGGCTTTTTTCTCCTCCCCCTACAAGCCTCCTCTAAAAGTGATTTCAAATAAGAAAAGCTCACAAGCCAACTAATAAATATATTACCAAAGTATCTGGTGTATTAGCGACGATGGCATTGAGTTTTTTTACCCGTGCCTCTAGATCTGCGATTCGGGCTGATGAGCCTAAGTGCACTTGGTGAGGCCTTGTGCTGACTTTGTACTTAACTTCACAAGATGGCCCTTCGCCTGGAACCACCCTGGAGTCGCCCTTGCCCTTTGATGAATCGACAGAACCAAGCTGGTCCAGTTCAGAGAGCATTTTCCTTGTAAAAACACCCTTGTAAATAAACTAAAATTATGCTGACATATATTTTTTTGTAAGTACTTATCGCTCATTTAGCCGAGTTTCAGGAACTAAATGTCGTTACAGCACTCATTTTTATTTATGGCTAAAATTATATTTTGGGTATTCAACTATTAAAAACTCAAAATTCATATTTTGCCAAATGCATGTATATCTTGTTCAAACCTCTGTGATTTTCACTAAGGAAATTGAAATACCTTAGAGAAATTCAAATGGGAATATTTAGCACAATTGTGAGGATTATGAGTATGTATATAAAATAACCTCTCTATATTTATCACACAAAAATCAACACTCTTCTCTGAGATATTTAAGATATAATTTATTAACAACAAAAAATGTGGCCATATAAACAAGTAGAAATACAGTGAGTAAATTAGGATGGAAATTTAAAAGGAGGTATTGGGTCCCAGCCATAGGTCCATTGACACCTTTTTCAAAACTTACCCTTCCGCCTTTATTCCTGATAAAAGAGACTTAGCTTAATAGAATCATATGGGCCCTCTCACTAAATACAATCCTCAAATATAACTATAAGCGTTAATTATAAAAAATGACTATTTATTATTATTATATTTAACTTATATACTTATAATTATATTTGACTATTATATTTAACTAATTAATTAATTAAGTTTCAAATTAATAATATATTTTAAAAAAATGTTTTAATGAAAATGAGGTTTTGGTTATCTTTGTCAATTAAATATTATTTTATTATTTATTTGTTTATAAATAATAAGAAAAAGTTATAAAATAAACAACCTATTGAAGAAAAAATAATAGTAATGAAAACAAGCCATGTATGTTCATATAAAATATATTTTACATTTCAGTCCACTTCATCAGTCCAAAAAGAAATATTTGAAGGCCTAAAAGATGAATAAAGAGATGCCAAACCTCTCTTACAAACAGGCCCAAAACAGCAGAGGGCGTGTGCCATGTATAAGGAGGGAGAAATCAAAAAGTTGCTGCTCCATCCCACTACAAGCATGTACTTGGTGGAACTAAGTGCAATATTGCTCATGCTGAATAAAAAGTAAAAACCGTAATTCTTTTTTGCTATGTGCCGACTCGTTCAGTGTGGTTCAGAAACACAGGAGAAAAAAAGCAATATTTTGTCATATCGTTGGACATGTGCATAATCTTGGGGCATGGTGGCTGGCACAGATTGCTGCTCTGGTACTTCAGAGCTATAGGGATTTTTAAACGTATGTAGTGTTTGTGTTGTTTTGGTTAATTTATTAGAATAAATGAAATTTATTAGTGTGAAAGAAAGGGGTTGTTTAACCCTGTTTGGAGGAATATCAAGTACTCATGTGGGCTTGTGTGACAACTGGAGAGAAAAGTTAAGTTATTAACGTGGATGGAGTGGGTTCAATCCTGCCCCAAAGAATATTGAATTGGGGGAGTGAATGTGACCAGTCTTCTATGTTTGTGGTGATGTATATTATTTAATGTGTGCTTTATTTTGGGACCCTCAACCTAGCTGCAGGTTGAAAAATACACGAGAAAAAACAAACAAAGAAGTAAAAACAAGTGCAGGACCAGTGATGTTTTTCAGCCCTTAAACCTCCCACATTATTATTATATTTCCAGCCACTATTGTGTAATTTTTATTTGACAGAGAAGTGATTTTTTATACCGTAATGCACGAGATGTTAGCACAGTAACCCCAGGACAAGTTCCTTTTTTGGTTCTTGTGATCATCAGACCTTCAGTCCTTTATCTTGATGAATTGATACTTAATTTATTTTTCTGTCATTGTCCCTTATTTTTCATCCTATATGTCTGATGTATTTGTCCTCCGTATTCCAACATCATGGCATATATGCCATTTTTGTTAAGTTGTTTCGTTTTGTCAATGTTTTCTCATAGCATTTTCCAATTTTGTTTGTGGTCTGCAGTGCTTTTAAATTCCTTTTCCCATATATGTGAATACTGTCCATTTAGTGGCTGCTTTCTATTTTGTGAAATATTTTCGTCCTCATCCACAATTTGGTGATGGTTTGCACTTAGGTTTAGTTTCATTTTATAAAAAATTACTAGTCTATACATTTTTTTGTATGTATTTATAACCTAAAGCAATATATTACCATATATCCTTTCATTCGTACTACAAGCTAAACTGTGCATCCCTTGCCAATGATTGATTACCTGATTAGAGCTTTAAATTTAACTAAGCTTAAGTTTTTTGTAATATTTGTCACAGGAATCTGGTCTTAATCGACTTACTTGATTTGAGCACCTTCAGGATCTGCCAGGTTGGTCACAAGTTCAGTCCCAAAAGTTTTATCCAGAGCTAGCTCCTCCAGCTGTTTGCTCATCACCTCTAGATTTGTGATGACAGCACCATCAATATTTTCATTGGTCTCCTTCTCACTTTCCTTGTAAATGAATTGAAATAAAGCTAAGAATGTCTGAGACCCTTGCAAATTAAATTTTACCTTTACTTGAGCGACTTCCTCCAGAAGTTCTTTCATCTCACATTTCAGCCTTTGGTACTTTTGAAGTGGGGTCTCTATTTCACCAGGAGGGACCAACTGCCATTCACCACTGAAATAATTATAACACAGGTTCACTTATTGTCATTTCAATTTTTTTTAGTTCATTCATAGAAAATTAGATAGAATAATAGACAGAATAGAAATAGAAGCATGACAGAGATTTACTTGTAAAGGTATAAATTGTGTATACGATAAATATACCTAATTCCATAACCAGTCTTAAACGTCTTGCTTAGCCTGTCTGAGAAATCCACTTTCTTCGCATTCAAATGTTTGCCTTTGAATTTTGAGAAAGCATCACTAGCATTGATCTTCACATGTTCAATCGATTCAGACTCCTGAATTCAGAAAATCTGTAAAAAACATACATACAAAAGTCAAAGTACAATTCAAACCTCTTCTGGCTCCTCTTTCGTCTGATCGGCCTCAGGTAGATCAGTCGTCTCGTAGACATCAGGCTGGTCATACGCCTATAACAATACATTTTAATTTAAAAAAACCTTGTTTCACTTTATTGTAAAAGGAATTAGTTGCAAGGAAAAATTAAGACCTTCATAATGAAAGGGATCAATGCACTGATCCACATATCCATGTCTTCCTTCCGTACTATTAAAGGTTCTAAGTTGCAGGGAAACATTTAACTGATTTGTTTAAGCAGATGTTTTATATGTGAAAAAATCAATCAGGTGGCACACCTTACTTCCTTGTAAGGAATATTATTAAGTTTTTTTTATGACAGTCTTTGAATATCATGAACTTTCAAAAATAATTTTTATAGGCTTTTATAGCACAATATTTTAAATGAACATATAAAAGTTCATAAATATTTTAGTTATGCAATGAGGATAGTCATCTCTATGATGAAGTATTGAACTTGATGAAATTTGTCCATTCTTTCAAAATGACTGACTGTTTCATGCACAGAAATTGTTAATATTAATTCATAATTTTTTGTTTGTTAATAAACTTGTTATAATAATTTATTTATACACACTGATGGACAAACTTAACACACCACTCAATTTATTTAGCTTAAAATTATATCCGTTATTTTTCTACATTAGTAATAGATAATTAAGAGCTATCATAGTCAAAATAAACTGCAAATAAAGTTTTATTTACTTTGTTTACTTTTGTACTGATTAAACACAATTACACAAAAAGTAGAGTTACGCCCTTCCATTCTGTTACGACTAAAGATTGCTTTCAGTTAATCATTTTTCCTTTGTTGATTCCGTTTGATATTCTTATTTCTTTTTCTGTGGCTCCAGTCAGGCATTTGAGTGAAGATGACAGTGTCAGGGTCATATTAGAGGAAAGATACAGGCAGGGCAAAGTATGAGAGTAAGTGTAAATCACTACAATAGGAGGGTTCTTCGGCGCTTAAGAGAAACAGGGCTTCACACTAGAAAGAAGGAGATTTGTTGTTGTGCAAGAAAGAACTCTAATGTCATAGAGGTACTCACAAGATATAATTGAAGAACATGCCATTTGCCCCCTACATCAGTGAGAGATTCTTGCTAATGCAGGATAATGCGCTGTGGTAAGAGATCCCCCAGTGCCAGGTGTTGGGCCCTGAAGTTATTTTTATCGAGCTTTCTTGTTGCAGTCCTGGAGGAAATCGAAACATTTTGGGCTTGTCGTAACAGATTTCTCATTTCATTTCCCGTAAGGCTGCGGTTTCATAGGGCTTGATGACAGATGAATCTATCGTCTCTTTCTCCTCTTTCAGGTCAACTCTGTCCTAGCCTTCTATTGTGGAACCCAGTTTCTCTTAAGCGACAAAGAACTCTCCTATTGTAAAATGATTTACACTCAGTCTCCTGGCGACTTCGCACTGGCTGTATCCTTCCTCTAATAATGTTATGACCGTGATAGTGTATATATAATATATAGATAATAAGTGTAAGAATACTATTGACTGAAATCAACAAAAGGAAATAAAATTAATTAGGGTTTTTAGTTGAGATAAAAAAGTCAATGGCACAAGCGGGATTTGAACCCACAGTGTGGTTGAGATGGGAAGTTGGTGAGCTATCGTGAGTCCGAAAGTCGGTGTCCGAGTGGATCGAGGTCACGATAGCTCAAGTGGTAGAGCAGCGGCGTATCAAGCTGAAGATCGTAGGTTCGAATCCCGCTCGTGCCATTGACTTTTTTATCTCAACTAAAAACCTTAATTACTTGTATAATATTAATTGGTCAAGCGGACCACGAAACTAGTGACTTTAAAAGGAAATAGATTTAATGAGAGGGATCTTTATGTGTAGCAGAATGAAATGGAATATACTACTTTTTTGTGCAAATTTGTACAGTAGTAAACGAACTATTAGTTAGTGTTTATTTTTACTACAGTTGTTCCAAATTAACTGGAACTAATGTGGAAAGATAATGGATTTAATTTTTCACTTAATAAATTGAGTGGTGTCAAAATTTGTCCATATTTGTGTGTATTTCATCACTGACCACAATGTTAGATACATTTTTGCAATATTTTCATTAATTGTGTGTTTCATCAGTTTAATCACTAGGTTTAACGATTGGGTTGGTTCGAATCTTTTATCGCTCTTCTAAGGAAGATTTAATGCTAATTAATGAATTTTCATTCGTTGTATTTATATAAACCAAACAGATTTCTACCATTCGGTTTTAAATTCTAAATACACTTGTTCTTAAATTTTTTTTTTAAGCGGTATCTGCAGAAGGTCCTCATTGTAATTAAATGGAAATAAAGAAATAGCTTTTTGAGTCAACATTTGATTGTTTCAATGTGATTTTGTCTTAACTCAATCAAAATTGAATATAAACAATTAGAAACATTTTAATACGTATAATTGTGATTTTCAACGCGACCGACATTCGGTGAAAGTTGTTAAATGACGTAAATCGTTGTGTATCTGTTTAGCGAATACTCACGATTCCAGAGAGATGTGCGTATTTAGGATCTGCCATGTTTTCACTTAAATCGAGGATTTAAAACTGAACACAATTTAAATTAATCGTTGAGTGATATTCGGCAATGAGATCGTTGAATCTTGAGTGAAACCTCCACAGAAGGCAACTTGTTTGCTCATTTACTTCAACCATTTGCCGTCTGAGGCGCTTATGCAAACTCATCTCAAAACATTTCCTTTCTTTTCTCTGAAATAACAATCTACTTAAACAAATCTTTAAAATAAAACAAGATAGTGAAATACTAATACAATGTAAACCATTCTATATAAGAGTAATTACGTAATATACCTGTTTTAAATATAAAAATTTTAGTAAAATTTTTGACTTCTCGCTGTTTTATACTTATCCGAGAATCTTTATTAGGTCAAATTTTCTTTTGTAAAATCATAAAAAGGGTGTTTGCCACTTGCATGGCATGCGGACCCCAATTGGGGCTTCGTAGGGTATGGCCATCAAGACATACTCAGCACATAATTTTTTTCTTAGCGGGGCTGCTGGCTGTAAATAAGCACCGGCGCCTCCATTAATTATGATCTAGTATGATTTCTTGTTATGTAATTTGTTTCGGTAAGTAATTTGAGTTAGTAAGATCGGTCAGGAAGGGATTATTTTCGAAAAAGACAGTTTTCATTTTTTTGCTGAGCGGTCAACTTTCAGAGTCTGGGTGAATTACAGACAATAAAGATGTAACTAATAAACGTTTTTAACGAAGTATTTCATGTTCTCATAACGTGAGGGTGCTATTCTTGAGATGTCATATTTGTTTCGTGTGAACTTGTTATGAAACCTGAATTAGTACTCAAAACAAAGAGAATCTTAAACTATAACTCTTGAATCTTGAATTATAACTCAACACTACATAAAACAATATCATCCACAGAGCAGTACACAACAAATCATCGTCCCAATCACACAAAGACAAAACGATGTACATGTCCATTCCATTCGTCCACCCAAATTAACTACATTTCTCTCCTCAGCCCACATTAAAATAGCCTTCGAAAACACAGTAGTTATAGTACATTTATATATTTTTGTACAAGGATTATATACGTATATAAACAAATAAATATGTATATGGAAAGACGGACGAAACAACACATCTATAACTCACGTAAAACTAAAACTATAGCATTGGCCACATACTACTTTGAAAAACAGCACAATTTTCATTTCGACAAAATACAAATACCAAGCACTGGAAAAAAATAAAGTGCAACTTTCTAAACATAGCTTACATTATCAGAGAAGCAGCATTAATTAAAGAATAGATACATGCACACTCAACCGTAGCTATGCCAATATCATAAAGCATATAAACTATTGAACTTTATTTTTATATTTCCCTTTCCGTAATTATCATCCAAAATAATTAACTTCCTTTCTAATATTAGTAACTGTGCACATTGAATAAACCCCAAATCACAATGCCAATCCGGAAAAATCCTCATTTTCAATTTTCTTTGAGTCATGATCAAAGAAAATTTCCCATATTTACCGTGTCCCCCACCATGTCACAATCATAAAGAACAGCAGAATACAATTTCATGTTTTACAATAATTTCACACGAAACAAACGTGAATAGCACCACACTTTATGCGAATATGAAATTCTTGGTTCAAATTTATATTATTTACGTTTGTATTGTATTATTTTTTCCAATCAACCTAAGTATTGTAATTCACCCAGGCTCTGAAGATGGCCCGAATAAAGGTCGAAACGCGGTAAAAACATGAAAAATGTGTTTTTCTAAAATACTTAATACCTGACCGCTCTCACCATTTAAACAAATTATTGAACAACCGGTCCCTAAAAATACATATTATTTTTTAAACTGTTTTTAAGGCATAGATTCTTCAAATCTTCAGTCTTAGTCTGTATAGTTATAATTGACGATACTTGAGAGTTGTGTTTTCATAATACAAAATTTCATGCAGGGTGTATTGGTACAATACAATCATTTTGGATTTTTTCAAATTTAATTCATTTGTGTGTTTCTTAATGACCTGTGGTTTCGTAATGTGTTGAAGTCGTGAGGAGCGGTCAAGAATGAGGCAGTTTAGAACAACACCTCTTTCATTTTTTTTTGCCGATGTTTCGTCTTTTATTCGGGCATCTTCAGAGCCTGGGTAAATTGCAAAACATTTGTGATTGAAAAAAATACAATGGAAGATGTAAATATAAATTTTTAACCAAGTATTTCATATTCACATAAAGAGTGGTGTTATTCTTGTGGTGTCATAATCGGTGGGTGAACGTGTTGTGAAATTGTATGCTGCTGTTTTTATAAGATTGTGACAAGGTGGGGGACGCGCTAAATCTGGGAAAATTTCTTTGATCATAGGCAGTTTTATTTAACTCAAAGGAATTCGAGAATGGGGATTTTCTGGATTGGATTTGTGATTCGGCATTCAGTATTGGAAAGGAAGTTAATTATTAAGGACGATAACGAAGGAAAGGGAAAAATAAAATTAAGGTTTAATAGTTTATTTGCTTTATGATGTTTGAGTAGGTACGGCTGTTTGCATGTATCTGTTCTATAATTAATGCCCTGTGTATCTCTGTTAATGTAAATTCATTAAAATCTGTACTTTATTTACATTATGTAATAAGATGGATTTACAATCCTACATCAGCCATAACAAATGTCTTATAACATGTGCCGCAACTGGAAAAGTCTGTGCTCTTTGGTTTCCGACAAACAACTAAGTTTGTTTGCAGAAGAAAATGCAGAGGAGAAAGAAGTGAAAAAACATGACTGAGAGCCGACTATAAAGGTCGATTCACACATATCAGTGAAGTGACAGTGATCGTCACAGGTCATTCTTTCTTCCGTGCCTTGTAGTGGTGGATTGGCAAATGAAATGCCAATGTTTTCAGATGATGAACTTTTGATTATCGCCCTCATTTTGGATGAAGAGTGGAACGACAAGCGAGCAAACGGAAGTGGATTCATCAAGCATGAAACAAGAATTTGCCTCAACTTATAATGAATTATTGTAGCAATTTTTACTTGCTGCATAACTTAAGACTTTAACTTCTTAATACATTAAGAAATACGATATACTTACGTGTAATTACGTTACTTCCCAAGCGGAATCAAGGAGTGAAACACTCCAAAATTTACATTTATAGGGAGGAAACACAAGGAAAATGCATTTCGTTTATGAGAAATATTCCCTGATTATTTAGTTCTGATACTGGATCTCTCCCGTAGTTATCTAAAACCAATACCCTTAAAACAAGTTCTAATCTAAGTTGATCATAATTTATTATTCACAGAAAGCAAACATTTTAAGTGAGTACAAATATATTTGTATATTTAAACAATGTTTATAAATCCCAGGCCCTGAAGATGATTTCAATAAAGATTGAAACATTCGCACGATAAAGAAAATGTTTTTCTAAACCTACGTCACACCAGACCGCATAGTAATGTAATCATAATGTAAACACTACTGAAATATAGAGGTACCTTACTCCCCATTTGTTTTCATTTCTTCTCCAATTTTTCTCCAGAGAATATTATTGAAATCTGAGTCCATACATTAACCTGATCAAACAACTGAGGATTATTTCGCACCAACTTAATGAGTTTATCTTCATTCATGTTATACGGCCGTGAAAACGGTAAAATATCGTCAACAAGAAATCCGACGATCGTCCGGTGACAACGGCAGCACAAGTTGGCAGGCCGCGGTCGTGCGCCAGGCGTGTGAACAAAGCCATTCAATTTCTAAGAAGAATATTTTCAAACCCGCCGGTAGAACAAAATGCCGGTCATGACACTGTCACTTCACTGATGTGAATCAATCTTTACTTTCCTGTTTCTTAAATTTTTAATTTTACAGTTGCTCCCTTTAAGATTACATGTTTTTACAGTTATAAATAGTACAATATGATTTTTAAATTACAATCCTATAATTTTTTCCATCTACTTTCACTCTGGTCACTTAGGTGGTAATTATTATTTGAATTTATAATTTTTTTCTTAATTAATTTTTTTTAATATATATAGACTGTAAAAATTCAATGATTTATAATAAAATAAATAAATAAATAAATTGCAATTTCAGCACTCTTTGCACTTTGCTTACTCCTTGAGATTCTAGCTCTGATAAAATCTGAGATTCCGGGCAATGTACCAACCAGGAGCGCACCTGACACTTAAAGAAAACAAAATAAAATAAAATAAAACAGGTATTGAAGTTTTGGAAGTGGAAATAATCTGTTTCACGGTTTATGTCGAGAAGGACGGATCTTTTCTTTAAAAATTCATATTTATTGTCAGGGCATAAAATTTGACAAACCGACAGAACTTAGTAGGTCTTAAGTTGAAAACATAAGTGTATCCTTAATCATACTCTAAGGACATGAAATCGAATTATCCACAGCATTTCATTTTGGTTTTTATAAATGTAACTTTGTTCGGGGGATCGGTTTTTAAGATGGATTCGTTTATTTCCATCACAATAGTAATAATAAAACAAAGTTTGAAAATATAAAATAAAACACTTTTAATTAAATGAAAAATAACTATAAAAAGAAAATTGTTTAAATAGTACAACATGATTTTTAAATTATAACACTATTGCCCGTCATTCACTTTGCTTACTTTGGTGGCAATTATTATTAAAATTTATCTGTTTACTTATTTTATTACATTTCCTAATTTATTGAATTTTTTAAAAATAATATAGACTTTGGAGAAATCAATAAATTAGGAAAAAATTATAACAATAAAATTAATAAAAAGATAAACTGAAAAAATAATTGCTGCCTAAGTGACCAAAGTGAAGTGAAAAAAAATGATTATTTGGACATCTGGAGATAATTCATTCATTTATTAATTAACGGTCACTAAATACTACACATTGTACATATTGTAAAGTGTTATAATTCAAAAATCACTGTAATGTTTATAATTCTAAAAGCCTGTAATGTTAAAGGGGACAGTCTCCGGCTACGACAAACCAAGTGAAATGCAGCCTTCAGATGAAGCACCTCAGCCGAATCCAGCATATGTCGTAACTCACGACTATTTTAAAACATTTGGTAAATAAATATTTAATACATTAATATTTTAATTAACATATAAAATTAATGTATTATTCTAATTTTAGGAAGGGTCAAATGTGTTTAAGAGGCTCGATGTGTCATAGTTCATCGTAATTAACATACCAGTTGCATAGATGAATATAAACAGTTGTTTCAGGAGAGTTTGGGTTAAAATGTATTAATTACAAACCAACGGGGTCACTGGATTAGCTAGTTTCCTAATTGTAACTTTGGAGTGGTTAAACCACAGGTTAAACCACAAAAGCTTCAGTGAAATTGATCCTTTTTGAATATTTAAATTTCACGTAATACGTACAAAGCACATAGTTGTCAGATATTGAATATATAATGGTCGCGTCGGATATAAATAAAATTGTATCGTCAAATAATTACCTATTTACTGTTCTTCAAAGACATACGAATTTTTAAATGAATATTTGTTAAGTACGTAAATGTATTATTG